GTGTAGTGTTGGTGAGATTTTGAGATGTATGCACATATACACATACACACATTTACACAGCGTGGGAAAATTCCAAAGAACTAATCTTTACTCAGTTTTAGTAAATTTGACGGAAAGACCAATTTAGGTCTTTCAGCCTTTTGGGAGATAGCTCCCTAATACCGTGGAGTTATCTACTAAGCGGCTGCAAGTGAACATCCGAAGTTCAGAATTTCGGAATGCCAAACCAAACCGAATATTTTCCCCATGCACATCCCTAGAGTTAGTCTCCTATCATGTTCCAGGTTGGAGAGGCTGCAGGAGGACCCCAGTCATGCCACAGCGATTGGAGCAGAAGCAAGGTTTTCCCCTGTTCCAGCCAGGAAGTAATCCTTGGCAGAGCTACCCAGGTGGGGTATAGGGAGCTCCGCTGTAAGGGATGACCTGCAAGAGAAAAACTATTTTTATTATTTGTCTTTACGGAGCAAAGTTTCTATCCAGACAAAATGGAAAACATTCAGAAGTCTAGAGAATACCATAAAACACCTGAGCTGAGTCAAAATAACATCCATTAGGACTAGATGGTTTTCTTTTCAGTAGCCACAATAATATTTAAAGGGACACCCTGTTGCCCCAAAACAAAATAAAAACCACTGTTTAGTAGATATACCCCAAAATGAAAACTTGCATGCATTTAATTTTTTTTTTCATTGGAGTTATATCTTAAAACAGCTTGCAAGAACCACAGTTATATTCTCTGCTGCCTTTGCAAGACCTCCCCTTTTAACCCAGCCCAGGCTTTATGTGACCGTGCAATCACAGCAGCCCGTGCAGCTCAGAGAGAAGTCTTTGCAAGGCAGTTGCTCTGGGCAATTGCTACCTCTTGAGTACAGTTTAGATAAGCTAACTGTGAAGAAATACCCCTTTTATACTGTAAATTGACTCTTTGTATTCGTTTATTTAATAGCAATGTTTCCCTATGGCATTCGGTAGGTAAAACTACCGAATGCAGACCACCCTGTTACTCATTATACAGACTGTACCCCCTTGCTGGCTGGATTACGTTCGGCAGAAGTTCTGCACGAACGGCAGGTCTCGCCACCATTTAGGGACTTCCACGTGTTCGCAGCCATTTTAGCTCCCGAACAGCGGTGTTTGCCGTTGAATGTCTGGAACTGAAAACGGACACTCAAACAGGTGAACACCGCTAAAGCCTCCAGACCTTCGGTAAACCCCCTTCCAAACTACTGAACGACCAGGCGTTCGGTAGAAAGACTTACTAACGGATGGGGAATCAAGCGAACCAAGGATGGTAGCTGGATGGCCGGCCGTTCAGGAGGTTTTTCATGCGACCTAAGACCGACTGCAGGGCCAGAATTCATGGAACTGTTTTCGGCTACTTTGCCCGTGCAGTCGGTCAAAACTTCTAAGTCCCCCAACTCCCGAACGGCTGAACCGAATGGACTGAGTTTTTAATATGTTGGTCCCCCAGACACTAGCTATCCTTGGGGTACATCCAAACTTTGGGGAATTGCTGTTACGTTTTAATTGTGTTTAATGGTTATCTGAGGGGAGGAGATGTACAGTATGTATATTGTTAGGATTGGATGTATGGCTAATTATATGGGAGGCTCCCTTGCATGGGCTGAATTCCATAAAAAGAGCATGCCTGTCATTAAACCTTCAGTTCATCTTTGTACCCTTATTCTGACTACGTATGCTGTTTGGGAGTTCGTGTGTTTTACTGTGGGAATTATCCAGGAACACTATTGGATTTACAATTGGGAATTTGTCTACTATAACTACCGAACGGAGGGCTATATTCACTGGGCTCTGGCTGTTCGGGAGGAAACTACCAATTATGGTTTAAATGTACTTGGTTTCCTTACACTAACCAAACCAGGATGTAACATAACCTCTTGTCTGCTTGAACGTGTCCTGTTGTCTGTTAAATTATACTGGTGTAACCAGTATAATTTATAAAAGAGTCAAATTCTTTTGGAATTTGGACCATTTCCAAAATGGAAAAAGAGGACACTTCTTCACTTCTTCACACTTAAAGCTTTTTTCAGCAAGCTAAAGTTAGGGATCTGGTGTGTTGTTTCCTTTTACTTAATGTGCATGAGCACTCTAGGGGTGAGAATAATAAATGTTGACTCAAAGATGCATTACCGGTACATTATAGGTCCTGAATAAAAAAACATATCCTTTTCATCACTATTCTGTTCAAAACTGGGACTGAAATGGCTAGTCAGTGCGGATAGTACCAGCACTATCCTGGGCATATAACCTTTTTACACTTTATAGAGTAACGAGATGTTCCTGAAAATAACTCTCCTGTCTGGTAATTAGTAATGACTGCACAACTATAGATGTAAAATGTAAACACTGTATCAGAAAAACATAGTATCTAATAGTTGTGAGCTAGTAACTATAGGCAGCTTTGATGGCCAACAGTGACAGTGTCTAATGAAAGGGCTTTATTAGAAGTGTCATCTCTTAATTTTACATTATTTGTCAAATTGTACATTATGTTACACTTTGGACATTTGTTGGAAATAATTGTAACTATAATTTTCAAAATGAACCAGAAGGGTCAGAAAGTACAGATATATGTGGGTTGGAGAACAAGTGGTATTAAAAAAACAACCCTTTTAATTGCACTGTATTGTATAACTATACAATTATCACAGTAATATATTTTACATGTGGAACTTTCAGAGCAAGGCACTAAGTATTATTGTTAGAGTCATGAATAAAAATCCTATTTATTATGAGGGATTTTATTGTCACTTGAGTAAGAACTTACTAAGTAAGCATGCAATCGGTTACTCAACATATAAGTAATTTTGCTTGTTTCATAAATTGAGTTGAGCGGACACCTGGATGTTCGGGTCCGGCGGGTTCGGCAGAACTTTGAAAAAAAGTCTGGGTTCAGGCTCGAACTTGACCCCGAATCCCATTGAAGTCAATGGGGACCCGAACTTTTGGACACAAAAATGCCTCTAAAAAACTCCTGGAAAGAGCTGGAGAGCTGCAAAGCAGCTCAAAATGGGGGTAAGAGTAAGACAAGTGTCCTGCAAACAAATGTGAATAGGGAAATCACTTAAAATAACATACAAATTAAAAATACAGCTGAGCCATAAAATAGTACTAGATGGAATCTTTGATTTTAGCTTTGGAAGAACATAAATCAAAATCTAAAGCATGGCTGTCAGGAGGATCACCAGAATTATGCATTTGAGAGAGGGTTGGAGTGCAGGGTATTCTCTTTCATTGTTCAAACTGAGCTCAACTCAGAAAAGGCCTTCACAAGCCTCTGCTATTTTGTACATAGTTTATACTAAGAGACCCGTAGGTTGAGGAGGCGGTGACCGTGGCGGTGGAGGAAGAAGAGGTAGCCAACACTGTTATTTATGTTTTTGTTTTTTTATTGTGGTAGCCCACAAAATATTGGTACATACAAAAAAGAAACATTTGCGGCCTGCGGTGCATTTCTTGCAGTCCTGATGCATGGAGAAATGCTCAACTCCTGATTCATGGAGAAAAGGCCTTCACAAGCCTCTGCTAATGTGTACCTAGTTTATACTAAGTGACCCATAGGTTGAGGAGGCGGTGACCATGGCGGTGGAGGAAGAGGTAACCAACACTGTTTTTGTATATATATATATATATATATATATATATATATATATATATATATATATCTGTAATAGAAGGCTGCACTCACGGATTCCATAAAATATAACTTTTAATCAGTTTTGTTAAAAGAATAAACGTTTCAGTCCTACTTGAGAACTTTTATCAGGATCATACAGACAATGTACAAAAGACAGTATATATATATATATATATATATATATATATAGGTCACAACACTTATTACACAGATCTAAGTGATAGGAAACAGATTCATATTTTCTACACTAGAAACTACCAGATAACAAGCTGCTATATTTAAACGAGTGATCAATAGCTAAGAGGTACTTCAACAATATTGTAATTCTGGGGCAATACCCTCACAAGTCAAACTGAGAGGTCAGTTTATAAAGACAACTGTTGCCTGGAGGAAATTCTAAAACAATTTCCATATGTCCTTTGTAGACTTTACATGCTGGAAAAACACAGGTGACAACTGCTGTGGCTTTCTGCAGTGTGCATACCGGCAAGGAGGGCAGGGTTGAGGAGTGGGTGGAAGATGATGTGGAGGATGATGAGGTCCTAGACCCCACATGGAATCAAGGTCATGCGAGTGATGTGTGCAGTTTGAAGGAAGAGGCGCACAGAGGCACAAGCACAGCATAAGGGGAAGCAGGGTGCAAAAGCGGAGCGGCCGTCCCCTAGCGCCCGTCGGCATGTATTAGCTCGAGAATTATCACTTATCCAAGTAATACATGTAGCAATCAAAGGATCCATAATAGACTTGAGCGAACCCGAACTGCAAAGTTCGGGATCATACCAGATTTAACGATCCATTCGTAGTTTCACAGTGAGGTGGGCAGTCTGGTGACCAGGACCCAGACACTGTCTGGGTGGCGGTCGGATAACCGGGACCCAGTATGCCTGATGTTGAAGTTAGGAGTCACAGTGTGGAATGGATTAGCAGGGTCTGGTGCAGGGCAACCGCACACCCCCTGGTGTTGAGCACCAGCGTTTGTGCGGCCACATACCAGGACCCTGATGCCGCTTCAGTAAAAAGAGTACTTGATACCAGAAGCCATCACCAGACTGATCCGCAACTTGGAACAGGATGTGACATTCACTGTAGCGTCTGTGTGCGCTTTTGGCATTGTCACCCTGCTGCTGCTCGCCTGTCTGCACTGCAGCATAACTTCGGCCTTCCCGCTCACCGCCTCATGAGACTTTGAGAGCAGCAGCAGGCGATAATGAAGTTTCAGCTGCAGCACGCACGGGTCAGTGGCTCTGCACCAGACTTCCTTCCAATTGATCAGAGTTAAAGATTTCAAGTGGACTCATTACATTTACAGGGCCTCTAAAGAGTCCTGTATTGTTATTTGTCGTCACTACCTTCCCGCGTCGGGAATGGGTCATTTGCGCGCCTGCTGCCTTCCTTGCATGTGGTAGCCGTTTCTCAAGGTCCCTGTACGGAATGGAACCCTGATTCCCTGTTACCCATGGTCACCATGGTAGGCGCAGAAACTGGCATTGAAAGTTGATATGGATGACATCTGCATGCAAAGTCGCCGCCATGGGGATTTGCAATTTGCCCGAGGTTCTCTAGAGTCAACAAAGTTCCTGCCCAACTATAATGTCAACAGCTACTCTGCAGAACAGAGTTGTCTTTTTTTTTTATATGTCCCAATATTTTGGGGGCTACCCCAATTAAAAAATATATATATATATATATAAACAAAGAGATAAACTTGGCACTCACCCTTTGATGCAAATATATAGAAATATTGCCTGGGTGCAAACCTCAGCGTTAAAGTAGATACAAAATATGCAAATAAGGTGCACTCTCAGGTCTTAAAAAGTTCTTAGTTTATTTCAGTTGCAAATTACATGTGCAAAAAAAATCATCCAGATGATTTACATGTGCAAAAAAAATCATCCAGATATCGACGTTTTGACCCCTATAGGGCCTTTTTCAAGATCAATAATAACATATAACAAGTGAATATATAGATAAATATTGATAAACACTTACCACAAGGTGTGTGTAGGAAAATCCCTGACCGTCCGAAACCCGAAAGTGAGACAGTGTAACCACGTGACCAACGTAATGACGCGTGAAATTACGACGTTGCTAAGCAACGAAAATAAACAAATCATGTATACGTGTTGCCCGGATCTGCCAGAATATAGAGAAGTGACTAAGAAGTGAAATGATCACTAAATATAGTGATCAGGGTAGTATACAATCTATGGAGGGCAAAGTATAGGTCTCCTAATATTGCACACACATAATAGAGGACCACAATGTATGGGAATGTGAAACAAACAGTGTAAACTACGTGAAACACTTAAAGTGACCACACATACATGCAAATGTGACCAACATATGTGCTCCTCCTAAGAGTGTGTGGCAAAATTTTTTTTAGTACAATTGAATATTAATAATCCTGTGTGTGCATGCCAATCTTTGCCAGTCACACAGAAAAAAACAAACAAATACATTGATAGGTTATATAACCACCATGCATCCTAGTGAAACAATCTGCAGATAATAAAATGCAAAAACAACTACCCAAATAAGGTTATAACTATAAAGATATGATAAACCTCTTATCTATAGTGGGTTAGTAGGGATTATTCAACAACCCAACTTTTATCTAATGTACAAGGAAGCTGACTAATAATCAAATAATACATTGCTATATTCAGGACAGAATGTCCAATGTACATATAGCTAACCAGGCATAATATTAAATCCTGTTAACCTGAACTAATATACTTAAAGAAATTCTAGATAATATATACCTTGTATATAAACTATAACTAAGTACAATACTTTGCAGTGCCAAAATAAATTTACAATGAAATATACGATGAAATATATTCCATACGTCACAAAAACATCAAGTAGGTATTTTATTCATTTAAGCCCTTAGGCGTGACTGTATCCAGTTTAACAATCCAGTATGCTTCCCTTTAAAGTAGTAGTCTAGACCTGTCACCCCCACGAGATAAAGGGGGACATGGTCTATAAGTGTGGGAAGTCTATGTGAGGCTGCTAAAAAATGTTTAGCAACTGGTTTATCAGTCTGTTGATCCCTGAAATCTGTCATAATGCCAGACCTGTGTCTTCGAATGCGATCTCGGAGGGTAAGATCGGGATAATCCACATGGACATGTGATAAGATAGATAACATGGTCCTTTGTACATGTAATATAGTGTGAAATAGTCATTCTTTTTCCACTATGAGGATAAGCAAAAGAGTTGCCAGAAATCATATGGCTGCAGGTAACACAACCTCTACATTTGTAGCATCCATGTTTCTTCTGTATTGCAGTTTTCTTATAATTCTGTATAGGGTCACTCCGTATTAGAATATCCCTTAAATTTCTATTTCTTTTGTAACTAATGATTGGTTTCCCACGAAATATAGAAGATAACTGTTTGTCAGCGCCCAGCATGTCCCAGTGTCTATCAATGGATTTACGAATTTGTGTGGAGCCTGTATGGAATGTGAGGGGTAAGTATATCTTCGGGGTGTCCACTTTTGGTTCTGCTGGTATACCATTCATCTCCTGTGTCCATTTCTCAGTTGCTCTGTCCTTTGCTTCCTCAAGGACCTTAAATGATATCCTCTTTCTTGTAATCTGTGTGTCATCTCCTTTAACTGAATGTCTCTATTTTTGGAGTCACTATTGTATTGTAATACCCTCATATATTGAGAAATGGGTAGTGAATCTTTTAATCGTTGAGGATGGTAACTGGTGGCAGCAAGCAGGGTATTCCTATCAGTTTCTTTACGATGGACGGTGTAACCCAATTTGTCTCCATCTATGTACAATGTTATATCCAAAAATGAGATTTCCTTCTCATTATGGGTCAATGTGAACTTGACTGGTGTTGGTAACTTATTAATATTTAATACCATGTCCTCTAGTTCACTAGATAAACCATCCCACACCATAACCACATCATCGACAAATCGATAATATGCTATAATATTATTGGATACTTAATTTAGAATGTGTTTATTCTCAAATTGAAACATAAATGCATTGGCATATGACGGTGCCATGGCCGCCCCCCATCGCGTTCCCGGATAATTGTAAATAAAATAGATCTTCAAATTTATAATAATAAAAGGTATTCTATAGGGGGTCCTTGGTACTTGTCCGATGTTGAGAGTATCTCCCTTAATACTTCTATACCCTCCATATGGGGTATAATGGTGTACAGACTTTGTACATCTAGCGTGGCCAACACTATATTCTTATCTTTTAAGAAGATGGCCTCAATTCTGTCCAGTACATCTTTAGTGTCACGGATGCATGTAGGTAAATCTTTTACGCATTC